TTTTTGCTTCCTCCCCCTCCCTGAAGAGTCACTTAGCGACATAGGTTTCTAACTGAACGCTACTATCCACAGTATGCAATCGCGAGACTTCTCAGGTACATCGCACACCTCACAGAATAGAATATGCGAGTTCAGAGAAAAGAAATCTATAAAGATATAGCGGAACCTTCTGTAACTGAAGCCATACGGATATTCAAGAAGAAAAACAAGATACTTCAAAGAACTAACCCGATTCCGTGCCAGCAACGAAATTCTATGCCATGGAGCTTCTTCAGAGACCCGAACTCGATATGGACAGAATCGTGAGACCTTCGTTAGGGCACAAGGCCTGAACTCAATATAGACATTTGGAACAGAATTGTAGACTTGATTCTATTAAAAATCAGCACAACCACAGCGCATGCGATTTTGAGACTGGCTGAGATGTCGGTTTAAAGGCAGTGGGCACAACGGCTGGGGGGCAGGTGGCTGCTGCCAACCTCATTGGTTGAAGGGCGGCGTGAGGTTCGTCAAAAGCTTCTCGCACCCCGTCCACCAATAACATTAGCATCAAAAGCCCGCCCCAGCCATCGTGCCCACGCCTTTAAGAATGCTGTCACAATGCTAGAAGAAGCGTCACTCACATGATATGTGGTTTGTCCTCATGTACAGGCTCCAACTCTAGCTTGTTCGAAGCTATAGAATCGAAAATTGCGTCGGAAAGCTGAAAAAGCCAAGCAGATAACATCGAATTACCAATGAGTTCATAGGGTGGGAGATATTTTAAGAGTGTTACGAGTAGCATAACATGCTTACGAAGACACCACTTATGTCGAATGCACGCTCCACGGTGACCATATGGGCGGAGTCAAGGGTACTTATATACTTCTGTCATTGGCTCATGTACAGCTAGTTCACCGTCTTGAAAGGAAGAGACGCAGCAATGAAATGGTGCTCCACTCAGTCCGCCCATACGATCAGCGTGAAATGTGCAATTAAGTCACAGAAAAACATGGTCATTTGATCGCCGTCAACGCGACTGTTTCAATTAATGTGCTATGGCTCACTATGAAAACCTCATTCGCTTTGCTCTAACTCTCGAACTGGTCCTCAGCACCCATTAAGACAACCTCCTTACAAGTATCGGACTGTACGATAAGATTTGGTTAGGAGACGAACCTCTTTTGCACTAAACGTCATACATGGCGCAATCTCTTCTATATTGACCCGATCCATGAACGGATGATGGGCTAAAGGATGTCCGGCGTCACGCCATGATGTGAACTCGAACATTAGTAACGGATCCACCTTAACGATATTCTGCTGCACTTTCAACCAATAGAAGTACAGCCTCTTCACTGCGGATGATGGGGCGTGTCAGGAATGGGTTTGAAGCGACGACAGCCCTATTTTTTTCTTTTTGCTTCGGCGATCGACAAGGCTGTATCATATTTTCGTATCAATCGCTTTCACCAATTGTTACTGGCTATGAAAGTCTTCAGAATGAAACATTTTCCAGAAGTGAAAAAAAGCTTGTTGGCTGAACATACTGAACATACTTCTTCAACTGCTTCTGCCTGCTTTTGCTCAGTTTCTCGTTCCTTTTCACGTGAAAACGAGGCCGTTGACGGCGGCAGTGTGGACGATTTCCGCGTAGGAGCGGCCCCAGATGAACTGGACCGCTTCGCTGAGGCTGAAAAACCGAAGTCTTAGCGAAATACCTGGAGATTCATGTTCTGCATACCTCCACACATTCTCTACTACTTACATGTAGAAAATAGCTTTGCCAATGCTGACTTATGCTCGGGTGATGTGTGTTGGAAGTGATTCTGACCCATGCCAGGTGTTTGAACGAGCAGCTTCAAGGCAGCCACTTCAGCCGAAAGAACTTCAACCTGCAAAACGATTCCATGAATTAGATGGCGCAGTCATGAAACACGTTCCGGAGGTCAACTCGCCGAGTCAACCAAACTTGCCACTCATCAGTCTGCTTCTCGTATGTGGGATTACAATCACGGACATGGATATCGGTTAGTACCGCAACATTCCCAGTGGAGGAAATAGCTTATGCGGAAACATGTTTCCCAACACGTTTGTGGGAAACAGATTGATCAGCATTGAAAGCTCAGAAGGGGGGGGGGGAATCATAGGTTCAAGCGACCGAATTGGAATCAACGTAAGTCGATTTTGATTTTAACCCCGCCCATTGCACGATCCGCCCTCTCTAAAATGGCCGAGCTTCTCCCACAACATTCTCCCATCCACTATTCACCTTCACTCCCTTTTCCGGTCCCCAAATGGTTATAGAAGAGAAGTACGAATTTCTGAGCTCGGCTCCGCCCATCTCGGCATCGGCACACGTTCCGCCCCTTTCAGATGCTCTTCCGTATTTTAATCCACTGAGCCCTTGCTCGCGCAACCCACTTTCCTGCCTGGAGTGCTCTGGGACCATTATACGAGTTTTTGAGTTTGACCCTGCCAGTCTTAACGAATGCCCTCCCAAAACAGGGCTAGTTCTCTTGAACCTCTCAACTGGTAACCCCTTGATGCGTTTAATCCACTTCAAGGCTCTCTGGATTGCTCTAGAACCGAACTACGCTCAAAGAGTGCCTCATACTTGAAGGCAAGCTCTGCCTACGGTGGGTGGGTCCCAACATACACGCTTAACTCTCACCACAGTCTCTCTACATAAACTGTTTTGCAGCCAGTCTCTGAACTCTCTCATGAACCAGGTTACTGAATCCCGTGGGAAACACCGCCTGCCAATTTCGGAGGTGTCCCTCTCAATTAGTCGGCCAACCCCTACCCAATCTTAATACACTTTCCCCCGCTCTGGGCACCTCTGGAACAGAATCATTTTTT